CTTAAAACTGTTTTTAACCAGTTCTAGTGTGCTAGCTATGTGCTGCAAGCTTTTGTTATGATTGCTTGGTGCCAGTGTCCTGCTTGCTGCTTAGTGTTTTAATTATTAGTCCTAGAAATATCAAAACAAGGTGTCTAGACTGGGAAGTAGGTTAGGATTGTCTTTTTTTTAAAAAAGTCATTTTATTTGGGGCTCTTACAGCTTTTACCACAATCCATCCATGCATACATTGTGTCAAGCACATTTGTACATATGTTGCCATTATCATTTCCAAAACATTTTCTTTCTACTTGAGCCCTTGGTATCAGCTCCTCAGGATTTTCTTATATGAATTACCTATTGAGTAATTTGTGGTTCTCTTTATTCCCTTACCTCCTTCCTCCATTTTCTGCAGGCTTCTCATATTCAACCAGCCCAGCTCAAGGAGGAGGCCAATAAACAGTTTGCCAAGCGTGCTTCCAGGAAGATAAGCAGGAGCACACCCACTCTTGGGTTGACCAAAGACAATGAGTTGAACATAAAAAGGTGAGTAAGAAGGATTTCAGATGGCATTGTTTTCGATGGTAAGGAAAGAGCATGGCATCATAATTCACCTCATTTTTCTTCATTGAGAACATATTTAGTGAGTCACAGTGGTGACAATCATATAAGGTTAATATATATGAAGTTGGTCTTCAACTGTGGTTGCTTAATAGTTACAGGCCTCTTCACCCTCCATTCTTCCATAGTATGTGTGCATATTGAAATAATTGTTGTCATTAAGGAATATGTCAAAAGGCCTTTCTCTCTTTTAGTAATTCATTCCCTGTCTGAGCTAGTCTGTGCTTGGTGGTATTTAGGCAACTTAACTTTTTAGGGGATTTTCAGGAGCTAACTGATAGTTTACCAGACTATTTATCCCCTTATAAATTTAGAAGGACTGTTATCTCATATTGCTAGAAAGAAACAATTTTCTCGTTAGGCAAAAATCATGTTTTTTCCAACTGTTACAGGGAGCCCTTTATGTATTTTGCAAGTAGATATCAGCATTATCATTTAAGAAAGAGAAAAAATAGCCATAGAAAAACTTTTATTGGAAGAAGAATTAAAAAGTGGAGCAAGAGCTTTCTCTGTTCGTTCTTTATTCCTGTAGGATTATTTCTTTAGACACTGATCATTCTACATTTGAATAGATAAGATATCCAGACCCAGTATAAACATGACTTCCAAAGGGTTGGGGAGCTCCAGAAAACTAGTATGTTGGGACAATTGGACACTTGCTAATTACCAAGCAGAAAGATCAAACAAGATAGTATTTATCCCTACTTGTTTTTCTTTTGAAATGGGAGTCTTAAGATTTGTATGACTATTTTGACCCTAATTTCCTGCATTGTTTTATTTTTAATATCTTCTAATCTGATTTTAGCAGAAAACCCCTCATAAAATGCCAAACCTTTCTTTCTTTTATTCAGGATTCACTGGGATGGGTACTAATGGTAGTACTACAGTTAGTAATAGCTAACATTTATTGAGAGTTCTTTATAATTATGTATCACTCCAAGTGGCTTTTCTTGGTAGCAGCTTTATTGCAATATTACTCACGTACCATATAGTTAATTCATTTAAATCATGCAGTTCAATAACTTTAGTATATTTACAAACATGTTCAACCATCACCACAATAAATTTTAGAACATTTTTCACCTAGTAAATTAATCTTGTATCGCCTATCAATCCTCTCATTCTCTCTCCAGTCCTAGACAATCACTGTCCTATTTACAGTCCTTTTAAATTTGCTCCCTATTTGCAGCTGGCCTAACTTACACCATGTTTGCCTGACTTCTCACTCCAGCCTCTATGGAAGTTTTAGAATTTTCTGTATTGCTCAAAGACAGATAGATGTTGTTCAATTATCTGGATGATTTTACCTGGGAAACTGCCTGGATAACTGTTTTGAAAGTCATTGAGACATTGAAGGAGGTTGATTGTGATCATAAATGCTAGTCTTATTGTTTATCTAATTGGTATAGTGGTTAGTTGAATGTTTTAAGTATCTGTGGCTTGAATAATGGAAAATATCTGTAAAAGTGCACGACTCCCCCAAAACTCAATGGCTTTCAAGCTCCCTATTGGTAGCACCCTCTAATAAAATTCTCCTTTTCTAACTCAGAATTAGTAAATTGGTTCTGCTGCTTCAGAGCCTAACATTAGAGGAGGTAACATCTATTCTGAACATTTCATATAGATGAAATCATATAGTATGAGGTTAGTTCGCACATAGGGTTGCCGTGACTCATTATTGATTCAATGACTACAGTATTTTTCTTACATTTTTTCACTAAATGTAGTGTTTTCTAGGTTTATCCATGTTATAGGATGTATGAATACTTCATTTATTGATGAATAATATTCTATTGTATGGTTATACCACATGTTTATTCATTCATTCGTAGTAAACATTAGTTTGTTTCTACCCTTTGGCCACTGCTTTGAATATTTGTGGACAAGTTTTTGTTTGGCTGCTTGTTTTTAATTACTTTGACTATATACCTATGAATACAATGATTAGGTCATATGATATTTATGTGTTGAACTTTTTGAGGAATTGGTAAACTTCTTTCCATAGTGGTTACACTATTTTATATTCCTAGTAGCGGAGTATGAGGTTTTTAAATTTCTTTACCTTTTTGCCAATGCTTGCTATTCTGTTTTTTAAATTACAGTTATTTTATCAGATGTGAAATGGTATCTAATTATTCTCTTTTCTATTTTCCACTTTTAATATATAAAATATATTTGTAAATTAGTAAATAAGTGTACCATTTCTTTCATTTAAATCTTTTATTGTGTATCAGTTGAAGGTTTATAGAGGAAATAAATTTTCCACTCAACAATTAAACACATTTTTTTAATTTCATTGATTCTAATCCCTACAGTATAAGATCACCTATCTCGTTCCCTCCCTATCTTTCCTGTTTCTTTCTATTACTCTTTCTTAACCCTTATGAACTTTGTCCTGTGGTACATGCTGCCCTTTTGACCTGTCTATCATTTGAGTGAAAATTGAGCCATGGGGTTGAGTTCATTTCCAGTCTTGAAGGGTAACTAAGGGCCATAATCTTGGTGGTTCCACCAGTCTCAATTAGACCAATAAGCTGAATCTTTTTTATGATTTTGAGTTTTGTTTCAGTTTTTTTTTCCCCTTTAACCTGGAACTTGTAATGTAATCCTTTCCAGGAAAGTTGGTAGTGGTGGTAGCCTGGCAACATTAATTCTTTTGTTCTTAGGTTCATCGAGACTGATGTTCATGTGGTCCATTAGTCCATTGGACTGCTCTTTTCCCATATGTCTTTGATTTTCATCCTTTTTCCTTTCTCCTTTGGAAAGACCAAAATTTGAACCTTAGATGGCTTCTCACTTTAATGGCCTAGTTACCATTCACCAAAATAGAAAGTAGAACATTGTCTTTGTGGACTATATAACGCCAATTGACATTGGTGCCCAAAGGCTATGGCCTGGATCCCTCAGTTCCTGTGACCAATTCCCTCAAGCTATTGTTTGGTTACATCTATGGTTTTATATCTTTGTCACCATGTGTACTACCACATTCATGTTTATATTTACAGCAAATATCCATGTGCAAATATCCGCTGTCAAACATCCAAAACTCTCACTGCTGTTGAGTTGATTCTGACTCATTATAACCCTAGAGGACAAATTAGAACTGCCCTTGTGGGTTTCTGAGACTACAACTCTCTATGGGCACATAAACCCTCATTTTTCTCCTGTGGACTGGCTAGTGGTTTTAAACTACTGACCTTGTAGTTAGCAGTCCAATGTGTAACCTATTACACCGCCAGCTCTTCTGTTAAATACACACATACACATATGTATATGTATATATGTATACATTTGTGTATATACTTTTATCTCCCTCCCACACCCACTCAGCCTGTATGTCCATTGCATCTACTAGGAGGTCACCTTTATTGCAAGATTGTGTATATAACGGTATTTAACTCTGTTGCCTTTAACTCTTGCACTTCTCCCAGTGTCTTCCCTTCCCTTCATAATTTTTTTACTGACTTCCCTGTGATTGCATATTGCCATTCCCTTCACTTAAGATATGTCTAGCGTCTATCCAGTAATTTACTCTCCCTTCCCTTCCTACCCCTGGTAAACCCAAAGAATGATTCTTTTAGTGTGAAAACCTTTTCTTGACTTATTTCAATAGTGGCCTCATAAAATGGTTGTACTTTTGTAATTGATTAATTACGCATATCATAATGTTCTCCAGGTTCATCCATGATATGAGGTGTTTGACAGATTCATTGTTACTTGTTAACATGGTATGGTATTCGGTGTTAGGCTGGGTTGTCCAGAGAAGCAAATACTAGGGGATGGCACTCATACTAGGGGGTACCCCAATAAAGCTGGATTTTTCCTTCCAAAGCTATGTATTTAGATTTTTTTAACAAAACAAATTTATATCCTTCAAAATACTCTCCATTACACTTAATACATTTGCCAAATCTGTGATTCCATTCTTGGAAACATTTTTCAAACTCATCTGTTTGGATGGCTGACAGCACCTCCCTCATTTTTTTCTTCATCTCTTTTATGTGGTCAAATCGCTATCCTTTCATGTCCCTCTTCATTTTCAGAAACTGAAATCACATGGAGTAAGATCAGGTGAGTAAGATGTGTGGGGCAAGAGCAACATGCTGTTTTTGTTTGCCTAAAACTGGCGTGGTGAGATGGCTGCGTGAGCAGATGTACTATTTTGGTGGCAAAACCAGTTCCCCATCTGCCACAAATCAGGCCTTTTTTTTGGTCACACACTGTTATGCTATCTTTTCAAAACCTCTAGAAAGAAAGACTTGATTAACAGTCTGACCTGGTGGAATGAACTCCAAATGTACAAAAGTTGACATTTTTGTCCATTTGAGAAGTTGACAGACATCCAGAATGAGGTTTGTCATCAATTGACATTTCACCTTTTTTGAAATGAGAGAACCACTTATACACTTGACTTTTCCCCATAGCACTGTTCTTGTAAGCTGTGTTCAACATCACATTTTCTGTGGCATTTTTCCCAAGCAGGAAACAAAATTTCACAGCCGGATACTGTTATCTTAAATTGGGCATCACAAAAGATAAGGTTTGAGTGAAACTGCTTTTATGAAAAATTGCAGTGTAACTAGAGAGAACCTTCCCAGGCAATGCCACAGGGTGAACTAACTCAGAATGAGTTGCGTGATGCTCACCTAGTGGGGAAACTGTGTATTATGAAAGTTCTGCCTAGTGGGGCTTTTTTCCCTTTTTTGGGGAGGGGGGTAGTTACTCCCTCGTGTGTATATATATATATATAAGAAGGAACTTTAGATCAAGAAAGCGTTCCCATCCAGTCCAACGTAAATCCATTGGTAAGAGGCTAACTGGAGCTCTCTTTGGACTCATGTAGCTGCAGGTTGATGACATAGAAAGGTGAATGGGGTAGAGGGAGATCACAGGGTGGTGGGTGCAGTCAAGTGGATCCAAGTTTG